TGTTCTTTTTTCTTTTTCGACGCGTAATTAAAAGCGTATATCAAACATTCAGTGTCTAAAAAAAAAGCACGAACGCTCTCTTTACAAGAGCGTTCCGTGTATCGCGTCGCATAAATTTACTCGGCGCGCTTATCAGAGCCACTTGAAAAATGAAAAAAAAAAAAAAGAAAACGAACAGAAGGAAATAAGCACAGCTCCGAAAAAACGAAGAAGGAGAGTAGGAGAGGAGGAGAGAAGGCAATAAAACTCATCACTTTAGCGAACAACACTGCCGAGATTCGCGCGCATGGCGAGCGGGCAACAAGAAGGATTGATCCTGACGTAACGATATAGCCCACAGCCACGTGTCTGTTTTACGTAAACGTAAGCGAAGTGTGCTCCAGGCAGACTATGCGCGGGCTGGTTCTATATTCATGTACCCGACAGGGCTCCCCGAAGGAAAGCGCGACTGTCATTGGCAAGCCTCTAGCGATTCTGATTGATGGCTCGATGGCGCTCGGCTCTGCCTTTTTCTCGCGGGAAAATAGCCACGGCGAGGAAAAATGGCGCGAGATAGCCCGCAAGGAAGTGATATTAACGCGAAAAAGAGCGAGCGGGCTCGACGGTCGCGTTCGGCGAGCGAGAGCGCGTTCATCGACCCGCGCGCACTTTACGCAGGCGTACTCGAGCGAGGGGCAGGAGCCTCTGGACGAGCAGGTCCTTTCCCGTAGGAAGTGCCACGGCCGCCGCGGGCCCGGCGCGCCCGCTGATCCCATTGGCAGGCGCGTCACCAACCCGTTTAGCGGTCGGCCGCGCGTGCACGCAGCGCCGTGCAACTTGCCCCTTCCGCCAGGGTAACTGGATCTGGCTGCGGAAAGGAACCAGGCCGAAGCGCGGCGCCCTGCTCCATCAACCCTCGTCCGCGTCGAGCCCGAATTCGGATTACAGCCTGCGATGGACGCGCAAGGTCGTGGCGCATAATTCATCGGTGACGAGACAGCCTCGTGAACTGACGGCAAAAATCTGCGGTTGGCAGTCAAATCAGAGAACAGGCGAACTGCACGGACGAAGGCGCGAGCGAAAGATGAGCGAGTTGACAATGTAGAAGTGCGACGAGGCACGCATGAAAAGGAGAACGGAGCAGCTCGCAAATTTCTGGAAGAATAATCTCGCAAGTGCGGTATATTGCGTGCACGCGGAGTTGCACTGTAGCGCGGCGCAGCGGCATCGCAACGGTTATTGCTCCGTGTCACGCTTTAATCCGGAAACGTTAACTCGCGACTAGCAACGGCAGCTGCCGCCGCTGCTGCAGCAGTGGCAGCAGCAGCAGCAGCAGCAGCAGCAGCAGCAGCGAAAATACACGTATCCGGTATCCGTCCTCGAGCTTCTTCTATCTTCGCATCGTCTTTTCAACATAAGAGACAGATGCTCCGACAGTTTTTCCAATTTATCTCTGTCTCGCTCTTTCTCTCGGCCGTTGAGGCGCTGCCGATCACGCATACTCGCTTAATCCGTCGGAGATCGATGGTGCGATCGAAGTGCGATGAACTGTACCGAGCGAGCGAGCGAAAGCAAAATAAAGCCAGTAAGAAAAAAAATGGAATCCTATATTACATTCCACGCGCGCGCATAACTCGTATTTTCGTTTGGCCAGTCGTTGACACCGCTATACGGACGCGAGTATGCGCGTATGCTCGAGCGCGACTGACTCATCGCTTAGCACGCAAAATTTTTCCATGTAGCGTGTACGTGAGCAAGAGTGAGAGAGAGAGAGAGGCGAGCTACACCAAAAGTCGCGCATTCGCAGGTGAGATAAGATCGTGCCTCAACTTACGATAGCCTTATTTTTTTTTTGGTCGACGGCGAGGACAGCTCGATATCGGCTCGATGACGTGTTTTCTCTAAATAATTGTGTACTAGCGCCGAGCGTAATTAATATGTCATTTCACGAATACCGTCCCATTGTATTTAAATCGATTTATGTTTGATCTGACAACCTTGCCGGTTCGCTAATGGACACGAAACCGTAGCTTTCGTTGATAGAGTTCAAACTTTGGCAAATTTATTTTTCGTTACTAATATGGCAGTGAAACACCACGTGTGTAAGCTCGCGCGGGTGTGTGCATATACTCTTTTACAAAGTATTTACAAAATGACAGTACCTGACGAAAGTACCCGTTCCCATTACGCCATCGCATTACGATCACACGCACGTACATACACACACACACGCACACCGTAAACTCACATTCGCACGGTTCGCATTTCACGTTTTTTATTCCCTCGATTGTAATTCATTCCGATCGGTGAATTCCACTGTGCGCTCCGGAGAGAAAATTTTTCCTCCATTGACCGCGACGCAACGCGCGTATTTTCACATTAAATGCAATTAAATGATATACGCCAAGAGTCGCGTTAATTAGCATTGTCGCTTTCCTTTTTCACTGCGCGCAAATCGACGTCGCGATCGCGTCTGCCATTGGCCTCCCCCCGAAAGAGAGTCGCGCGGCGCGTGACGTCGATTTCATTTAAATGTTGTTTACCCGGCGTTCAATTATTCATTAGCCCGCGATTTAAATACAAAACCAATGGTCAATAGACCGCTCAGGCCGCCGCGTGGCGTTCGTGCTTTTTGTGTAAGCCTCGGCGTGTCTCGGCCCAATAAAATAATTCAGTACGTATATACGTACGTATAGCCAGAAGGAATTCGTACAATCGCAATCAAATACAAACGCAGGCGGCGACCGAGAGGCGAGGAAGAAGAAGGAAAAAAATCCCTGCGAAACCGCACCTGTGAAAGCGAAGCCGTAAATGGAAGCATGAAACTCTCGGGGGAGAGAGAGAGAGAGAGAGAACCTTTCGCCGCCGCAGCGTGCAGAGCCTGTGAGAGATTTCGACATCGGCCACTACGACTTCCTACTCGCCACGCTCAGCCGCAACTTTTTGTTTCATTTCGGCTGCTCGAATCGTGTCTCTCCTATCGTCGTAATTGATTCATTATCGATCGATATTGCAACGATAAGAGAACTCGCGACATACGAAAGGCAAACAAAACTTTCCACGTGCGCACGGCTTATTGGCGAGCGCGTAATGCACGCAGCGTATTGCTTCATTGTCATCGCGTTATCGAGTTGTCGCGATGAGTAGGAACGAAGGGGAGACGAGTACGTATAGCGTCGCTGCGTGGTCGTGTGCATCGCTACTTTTCTCCTAAGCTTCGTAAGCTGCGTGGATGGACCGGAGGGTACAAGCAGGCGGCACGGGTTCTCACGTGTCATTTGTGCTGCTGACGTGCGAATGTGGTCCGATGCGATTGCGATACCACGTGCCGGGTCCTACCTATATTAGTATCTTTAGAAAACCAGTGATTAATCTAATTATCTGAACAAAAGTAGGCGCGATTTCATACGTTTTGTCGAGGAATCTGGCAATTCGCCCCCGGGAACATAAAGATATTCAGCGATCACGAAACAGACCTTGTCGGCATTCAATCAATGACGGATGTACCACCCCAAAGATAGTCAGAGCTTGAATCGCGATTCTCTCTCTCTCTCTCTCTCTCTCTCTCTCTCCTACAAATAAGACTGGGTGTTCGCCGTAACGGTTGGTAGGTAGGTATCCTCTTTCGCAAGTGCAAGCTCGGATTTGCGCTCGTCGGCTATTTATAAACTAGGCCAGCAGCAGCGGCGGGGGCAGCAGCAGTAGTAGCAGCAGCAGCAGCAGCAACTCTCGGGCGTACTCGAGAATGAAGGGATCGATATTAACGACGCGAAAGAGAGAAAGAGACGGACAGAGCCGATAACACCCCCCGAGAATTGTTGCGGAACGTGTGTGTGTGTGTGCGTGGGTGTGCACGTGTGAGCGCAAGCTCCAAACACGCGACTGGCGACTCTCGCTCGCTTTGGCGTTTGCTCAATGAAGCATTTATTCCGAACTTACGTAACCCACGATTAAACATTCTCTTCGGTTGAATATTTTACAGCGCGGTAGGTCAAGATTCGATGCGCGAGCTTCGTTTTGCCCGACGTAGAAAATAATGGTTGCGGCGAACTTACGATCGAGTGAATTAAGCCGATAGAGCGTCGCGCATACGTCGATCGTCCCATGAATAAACAAAAATTGCGCTCAAGTGTGACAGTGCAGTTGTGACACATCGCGCGCCCGCTTATGACAATTACACAAGCAATCGTCAACTAGACATAGAGTCCGAGGTCTCTCTTTTTTTTCCTATTATTGGCTCTCTTTTTATATATACGTTATCGGCGCAAAGCGCTTGCGATAAACCGCGATGAATCAAGATCGAGGTTACAGCGTTACGTGCCGATAAAAGAAAATACGACGGGATGGGGGAGGGGGCAACGAGCGTATCTCTAATACTTTTACACGATTAAATTTAGAGCTATCGAAAATCGAAGCGAGCAAGAGAGAGAGAGAGAGAGAGAGGGGCGGCGGATAAAATATTCAGTCGACTTGAACGTCAAAGAGCTCGCAAGCGTATGTCTGTGTGTGTGCGCGTGTGTACTCCCGCTGGATAAATATCACAGCGTGTACCGCGCGAGTATTATTATTGTACTGCTGCTGCTGATTGACGATCAATTAAGCCGAAAAGGCCCACTCAACCGTGATTTTGGCTTAATAGAGTTTGCCACCGCCGTAAATAGCTTTCGTTTCGTATTTGAGCGATGCGAGAGAAGCCAAACGGAAGAAAAAGGAATGGGAGAAGGGAGGAGGCGCGAGCTCGTCATCGAGAGATTCGCTGGAATATAGCGTTATACCCGTTGGCGTCAAGGCCACGTGACGCTTTTTCGCGCGCTCTCATCCGAATTTGGTCTGACGAACTCTTTCTCGTCAAAACAGAACAGCGGCAAGCAGATATTTTGTGACGCATCGACTACTCGCCTGTGACGTCGCTACCGAATATTCTAAAGTCAGATAGCTGTACTCTGATGTCAGATGTAAATAAACATGAGAGAGAATATCTGTGTGTATGTGTGAATTCGGCACGTTCTCTTTCAACTTACGTATTTTGGCAAAAACGGGACAACGGATGAACTCGATACTCACCAACTGCAACAGAAATAGAAAAAAAATAAAAAATCATGGTTAGCCGTGACTGTCGACAGAAAAGTCGCAAAGGCAATTAATTCCAAAAATATCTTTGCCTGATTTGATCATTTGAGAACGCGTACACTATAATAAGCGCTTCTCAACGGTGAATCACGCGCTCGAAAAACAAAAAAAGAATAGGATCCATTATTCTCGAATGTAAAGGAGAGAAAATAGCAGCGTATAAATGCACAGCTACACTCTGATGGAGGGGGGGGGGGGTCCGATTATAGTTTAACGCGTGACACGGCGGCGACAGCCGTACGTAGGCTTACAACCTCCCTTTCTGAACTTGGAAAAGGATCGGGCAAGTGGTGTGGAAAATAGGCCAGTAGGTCGACGAGCTTCCTGCCTTCGCTATATGCCGATTATATACGCACTGTCCGACGCGTGGCTCGCAACTACTGCGTATCGATTCTTTTTTTCTTTTTATTTTATTTTTTTCCTCGCACTCGAGAAAGTTTTATTTGAAAGTAACTGGCTCAAGTGCGAGAGCGCGCGAACGCGCGAAAACGCCTTGGATTAATTTAATTCTGACTAATCCGCCTTGACACTCGCGCTCGCGAGCAGTCTGCCATGCAGTCGTTTTGGAAGTTCATAATGGGACGTGGCGCTCAGTCCGACTGGAAAACGAGTTTCGGTGAGGGCAGAAGAAGCAAAAGAACATCGCGATCATCGATGCGCGCAGCTTTTAATGAAGTTTATTATAGAGCTCGCCACGACGACGACGACGACGTCGACGTCGACGTCGAATTAATTGAGTTGTAGAGAAAAGTTTTCTCGTATAATAAATGCTTTAATTAGCTGCAGGCGCCTAGCGCACGATACGCGTATTTTTTTTCTCCTTTCCGTAATGATTACAAGATTGCTCGTTTCGCCAGTATCTTCGCGCGTGCATCTTTATTTCACGACACGCATCGCTATTCAATGGCACTCAATTAACATTAACAAACACTTGTTACGACAATGCATCCAACGTTTATTTATAAAATAAAGAGGCGAGAGAAGAGAGCGTATAAGCGTTGGCCGGTCCAATGAAAATATAGACGATGTTATCGACCCGCTGTACGAAAGCCGACACTCGTACAGCGAACACGTTCAAAAGTGCCTTGGTCACCTACTGCTGCAGTGGCAGCTGGTAACCGGAGATCCACCCGCAATTCCCTCTCTGTTTTGCTGGCCGTTCCCGCCGAGGATGTTGTCTTTGGCGAATCTCAAGGCGCTAACGAACGCGCGCGCACTCGGCTCGGCCGCGCGAGGGCGAGGATCCTCTTGGCGCCGCGGCTCTTTTAATGTCCTCTCTCGCTCGGCTCGACGGCGACCCATATAAAAGTTGCAACGTCGCGCGATCGATAAACGGCGACGCTCGCGTGCACTGCGATTTTCCGCCGGCGACGGCTGGCGCAGGACGACCGAGTACCCGCTGCGCGCGCTGTATTTTCGTCGGAAGGTGACCCGATTTCGCGATCGCGATAAAGCCGGCTCGCTTGCAATGTGATTTACGGAGCCGGCCAACGCTGCGCCGCCGGGAGATTTATGCTTCGGCCGCTCGCCCGCAATGTTTTTCCGGGGGATCCGTTTGTTCGCTACGGGCCGAGAGCGAGAGGGACAGAGCGAGAGCGATCGAGCGACATGTAAGGAAACGATTAATCGCGCGCCGAGGTTCCGGGATAGATACAGGCATAATTATCCCCGATAAGCTGCGCGTCAGCCGTGGCTCTTTCTCCTCCTCGGATAGTTTCGCCGAGTGGCATCGAAGAACAAAGCTCGGTTCGCACGCGCGTCTGCAGATCTCTGCGCGTCGAAGGTTAGGGTTATCGATCGCCTCGGATCGACACGTTTGTTGTTGCTTCGCGCGAAAGTCGGAGCGCGCAATTGGCGCTGCACTGGTCGCGAATCCGTTTCCGTTCAATTGTGAAACTCGCCTCTCACTCTCACTTTAATCAACGCCGCCCGCTCGGAGGCAGCTCGCCCATTGTTCTCAACTCATAAACAGTTGAATTGCAGCTTTTTGTGCGCTCGCCAGCGAGTTAATATTGACGCGACGCTAATTGCTTGTCTTTGTTCGGATCGGCCGGCCTTTTCCGACGCACGTGCCGCCAGTTGGGCCGTTGGATCACTCTGACATTGCCGCGATCGAAGCTAGAGCGAGGAAACGCCAGCTGCACTTTCTTCTTATCCAATGATTATTCAACTTGGTCGTCGAGCGGCAAGTTTCACTTTTACTCGCTCGCTGCTCCCGCGGCTAAATTGACAGGCGTGACAGTCAAATCGGTGCCTCGGCTTTCATTTTTCAATCGTCGCTCTAACTATGCATTATCGACCTACGGCCGGCGCGCACACGCCAATTACAAAGCCATTTATCATGCCTATCAAAACATATACAGGCGATGAGTTCGCAAGATCTATTTTGTACGCCAGCCTAAATATATTCACCGAGTGATTCACCGAGTGTTTTGACATTATGTAATGCAGACGGCAAGTGCGCCTTGGAACGGCTGGCGGCTGCTGCTACGTTACGAGAGACACTCTCGATGCTGCCTTTATGCCGCGCGCGCGCACACGCGATTACGCAATCGCGAAAAGCTGCGTTTTATTGAAATTGAACGATTGATCCCGCGGCTCGTGTGTCGTCGACGTGGCTCGCTCGAGCTCGCCACTCCGCCTTGGGGCACGTTTCGCGATCGATGCTCTGGCCTTAGCTCGGCGCTGCCTCGCTATTTTGTTTGCGAGGCACGCGAGGGACGAGCGATATCGCGCGCCGGCCGCCCGCATGCCATGCGCCCATTTTTACGTGGGCCACACGCGCGCACGTGCTCGGTCCCCCCTCCTCGCGGTGCCCTAGACCGTTGTCCGGAAGGGCTGCGAAACACGGGTATTATCAAGCCGCTTCGTTTCTCAAACGTAAGACACTTTACGATTGTTATCTTTTTGACGGGTCTCTCGGAAATAGAGGCCAACTCCGTCGTTTCAATGTCTTTCTTATTTGTTCGCCGAGTCCGCTCGACAATTCCGCCGACCATTCCGCCGTGCGTGTATTCATCGAGCGACTTGTCTAATTGATGGATTATTCTATTTTTATGCCGCTACAACGATTAATCAGCAGCCGCGAGCGAGAAAAGAGCTTTGATATAGTATACGGGAAAAGAAGCACATTCATTCCCGATCGATTCCACTGGCATTGTGTACGCTAATGGAGAAAATGTTACCTCTCTCGACGGACAAATTAATGGCCAGGATTATAACGAAGGCGCGTCGTGACGATTCCTTATTTTGTTTTGTTTTTTTTTTTTTCTTCTCTATTATTTATCTTCTTCTCCTTCTTTTGTGTCTTGAGACGTAGAGCACAGCGAGTTATAGTTATTTTCTGCGTGACACGGAAATGAGACGTGTCAGTCATACGACAGAGCCTGCGCCGCAGAAGCTGTAGAAGCTCGCGACCGTATTATAAATACGCCAGTGGCGACTGTCGCATTTAAATAGTGCTCGCCGACAGCCGGTTGGCGAACGCGCAACAATTGTTTGTTTTCGGACGACGATTAAAGCTTATTCTCAGGCAATGCGTATAGTCGTCGCGAGCTAATCGTGGCGTAGATAACGAAGTCAGCAAGGGCATTAAGTTCGCGTAGAGCGGAGGTGGGGGGGGGGGGGGGGATAAAAATGGAAGCAATAGAGCATACCGACACACCAGCTGCAGCTCGATTACTACACCTAGAGGCGGCGAAGAAACTAAACTAGGTCAAATCTTGCGAGGTCAGGATGTGTTTCATTTAAAGCTCTCTCTCGCTCTCGTTCAGGCTTGCGGCGCGACGATCGTCGACGATGAAATTAACGCGCCGTACCTGTCACACGCCACTGGCGCGTCACTCGAGAAATGATTGTATCGATCGGCTGCGCGAGCCAGCGCCGTGCAGCCGGCGGCCCTCTAGAGCTACTTTGGAAACAGTTCGCCGACAAAAAAAGGGGAAAAAAGGGACGAGCGCGCAAAGAAGAATCGGGTTAAAAAGCTCTCGGAAAGAGGTCGATCGTGGTGTGGAGTAGAGTAAGTCGAGCGTACATTATTCGGCCATATCGAGTGTCGTATCTTCATCCGACCCCCCTCGTCAAGATACACTCTCTGACCTTACGAGGTCGCCCGACGACGTCGTCGACGACGACGACGATCGCGTGCCGTGCAACTTCACTTTCTTCGCAATGCTCTTTCTCTTTATCGACAGTGACGGCGCTACGCGTGTATTTTCAACTGATTTTGGACGATTGATTGGTCGATCGTGCGTATGCGGAGCTTGCGTAATGACACAGACTGGGAAAAAGACACTTTTTCAGCTTATCAGCCCGAAATGCAAGATAAAACACGCGTCACAGATATATTATAGGAGTCTCTGTGGGTCTTGAGATTTTTACCGTCACGCTTGACTCTCTTACATTATTTTCCCAGCAAGTCGAGCTATTATTTCGACACTGCTGGAACGCTTACTCAATCGAACCTCTTAAACTTTCGGTACGGGTCGCTCGGGCGCGCACCTATTAAAAACGCTCCATTCTTATGGAAGAGAGTCGTCGTTCGATCGAAAACGACTGTGACGGCGAGGAATTCCGTCTAAATTAATTATAGAATGGTTCAACGGCTGGGCACTGAAATTCTCGTCACATACACGGCAAAGAAAAAACAAACTAACAGAGGTTTACGAGAAAGAGAGCCGTCTGGACGTCGAGACGCTCAAAAAGCTCGAGTCGTATATACCAATATATATATATATATATATATATATACACGCAAAGGTTTGCGGGCGACGTCGTTTATTTTTTCTTGTTTCTTTTCGGACGCACTCTCCCGACGTACGACGGAGTGCGTCATTTTAAACGCTTGCGGCCGCAAGGATTAATCGAATTCACGACGCGTCGTTTAAAATGACGAGTTAATCGAAATTACACGCGTTACAACCTCAATTACAAGCGTAACCGAGCTTTTCAATTACAACGTGTCGGCGCTTGCGCTTTTTTTGCTACTCACATCTGCTCTCCGGTAATTTTCTCGCCCGCGTAGCAAAAGAGAGGGGGAGAGAGAGAGAGAGAGACGACGACGAAAAAACAAAAAAAAGTCTGGTACACGCGCGACTGCCGGCGACAGGTTGTAATTAGCGCCGCGAGGCGTAATGCGCTGCTGCTGTTGAGCGCTTTATCCCGCGTTGTTATTGTGCTTTCGGATGACAAAATATATGAGGTCGTATCGATCGTCGGGGAAACATCTGGAAGTCATGAATGAGGCTTGATAAGAGTCTAGCACGCGCGAGTGGCAGCGGCGAGTCGTATGATAATTCCCAACTGGAAGCCACGTGACCTTGCGCGAGTCGCTCTGCGTGCTCGACTGGCTTTGCTCTTCCACGGCGCTCTGGCGCTCTTTCTCTATTCAATAAAGCTTCAATCGATAGTGTCTGTGTGTGCGTGTGTGTGTTTTTTTTGTTTTGTGGAACGTGTCGAGCGAGCTTCGAAACGGACTGCGCAGAGCTCGTCAAACCAAGTCAATACCAGGTGTAGTAGAGCAGCTCGCGCAGAGCTCGTGGTGCGGGAACGTTAAGAGAGCTGCCAGGCTAATCGATATCGCTATTGGAAAGTTCCTGCCACGTGTCCAATATCTGCGGCAGGTTGAAATAGCTCGAGCCTCGTGATAGCTCGAAATTCGCTGTTCCTTGGACGCGTGCGAGTGAATACGTCTTCAAGGTAAGGTCGAGAGAGAAGCTCAAATTGGGCTGTACAATAGCAACAGCGAGAATGCACTCGCCACGCATGGTGCTGTGCGGGGTACGAAACTATGTTAGATAACCAGCACGTTACACAGATAAGCAAACGCCGCGTGCAAGCGAGCGAGGACTTGAAACTGGCAAACAGGTTCTCATTCGAAAACAGCGTTTACGGAAAAAGCAATTTCCCAGCAGGCCTCGCCACGCGAACGACTCTGCCTGACTTTTAAACTCGTCTTTCTCTCGTAGTACACCTTAGCTGTACGCTGCAGTTCGAATCGAAGGAGAAACGACGAGGGAGGAGGACACGGAAAGCCTGGCAGGCCCGCGCGCGTGCATTTGGAAAGAGATCGATCGAGCGGCAGGAAAGTAAAGCAGCGATAATTGAACGGAGAGAAAAGGGCGTGAAGGCGCATCGAACACGACAGGCGCGACGCTCCAGTTGGGCAATGCTATTTTCGATCCCGGAAATGACATTTTCGGAGCACTTCGGGCCCGGTCTGGCTCCAAATATAAACTGCAGCGGTCGCATAGCGTTCTCTCTCGCTCTCTCGGTCGGCGCAAGCCCCAGCGAGCAGAATAGAAACGTCTAGCAAGAGCTGCTCGTAGAATATATAATCGCGAGCGATCGCTGCGTCTCTACTCACGTGTCTTTTGCTTTGCCGTCGAGCTGCTCAAATCGCCGGGGCACTAACACACTTTTGCAGTCTCTCGCGCTCTTCTTCAGTGGTTCTCACGTTCTGCTGCGCAATGACGGCGCAAGGACGTGTCTAGGTCTTCTCCGTTTCTCATCCGAATGCGACACCTTCGGTTTGCACTATTTCTTTTCAGTTTGTCGATGTTAATTTTCTCACTGTGTACGTCGCGCGCGCGCGTTTCTATATATGCGTATGTCGCACGGCTCACTGATCAGGAACTTGCGATGATCTAAATCAAAATCGTGAGTGAGTTTGTGTTGTCTGAGTGTTAGAAAGAGAGAGAGAGAGAGAGAGAGAGAGAGAGAGAGAGAGAGAGAGAGAGAGAAAGAAAGAGAGATGGGGAGAAAGTGAGACAGAAAGGGAGAGAGCACGAGGAGGAGAAGACACGGACGGTTGATTATAAAAGTAAAAAAACGAACAGGTTTGTCCAATACAATGAGGATTACACACTCTTCACAGTTCTCTTTACTTTGACGTAGCTTTTGCCGTTTGGTCTATTTCTGCACGCAAGAAGAGCGAGTGCGAACGTAGGATCCGAATCGGACGTGAAGTTTGAGGGTTGAATTTGAATAAGAACGCGAATTAACACTGTGTCGTAATGTTGTCTCTCCTGCTGAGCGCACGTCGAGTTCTGTGTCGTGATGGAGACAGAGATTTCAGACTGTTTATATTATTATTTGGTATAATATTGTTGCAGAGCTTTTTTTTCCGTTGGAGTCGTGTGATCGTGATGAAAAAAGGCGAACCGTCGCTCGCGAGTGCCGCTGCGAGACTGAGTTGCGGGGTGTCATGTGCGGCGGAGTTAACATCGGCACTCTCCGCCGAGAGTAAGAGTGGGGCGACGCAGTCGGCCCGGTGCAATCCGGCCGCCGGGAGCACACGGCCGTAGTAGCAGTAGTAGTAGTAGTGGAGTAGAGGAGTAGGGTCGGCCCGGGAGGGGAAATTTTGAGTAGGCGCTCGCGGACCGTGGAGGGAGCGCCGCTTCTGCTCCGCTCGGAGAGTGGGTGGACGACGAGAGGAGAGCAAGGACGCCCTGCCTGCTTCTGCTACTGGCTTTTTCTGCTTTTTTTCTTCTTATGCGAGTGCTTAGCTGCTATATGCCCGATAAGACACAGCTCTTCTCTTCCCCCTCCTGGCCTCTCGTCTCTCTCTCTCTCTCTCTCTCTCTCTCCCTCTCTCTCTCTCTCTCTCTGACACACTTGCACCTGCTCTATTTTTCTTTGCAGCCAGGCTGCTGACCTATTTTCCATTCGCGCGGCTCCGGCTATAAGTACATTGGAAAAAGCTGATCTGTCTGACTGTACGCCGCTCTATCTACTTAAGCCAGATCCCACTGCGAGTATGTGCGCGCAGTGTGGAAAGAGCAGTTTTCTTTTCCTTTAAATTATTACCGCTGGTTTCTAACGTAGCGCCAAAATAGCAATGACGACCGTCCGCGGGAAAACTCGAGCGAGTGACGCGCAAAAAAGCCATCTTCGAAAGAAAAAGCAAGTTCACCGCTGTTTGCACATCATTAACCGCACGCCTCGCGGTGCGCGCATGTGTCGCACGCATGCTCGAATCGTAGAGAAGGAAAAACAACGATTCACGTGCGCGCACACACCTTCCACCGATAGCTTTATCTGCGGACGAACTTGCGCGGCGAACTTTTGAATGTCGACAATCGAGAGAGGGAGAGATAGGGCGTGAATCCGCGATAATGATAGATAAGCGACTTTGATACTTCGGCCCGAAAGAGCTCAGGTGGTGGTCAAGGCTCGCCCTTCGCGCTTATCGCGTTCAGGTTGGAAGAGAAAAACAAAACACAAAAGAAAGAGGGAAAAACGTAAGAGAGAACGGACCAGTACAACGTCGCGCTCGCTGTCGTGGTGCTCGCCGGTATTCTCGCGAGGTGCAAGCACCGGACGCGATTTGGCCGTGCAGCCGGATGCCGCGCGGCGTATTTACAATATCGAGCAGTGCCCGTGTTTTCTTTTCCTTTTTTTTTCCTTCGTCGTTGGCGTGCACGCGCGCGACCAAGTGTTTTGCGAAGAACCCACGGAGAACGAACAATTACGTAATTAACGAGTGACCGATGACGAGAAAAACGAGTAACAGGACCTCTCCGCAAGATAAGCTTTCCTTGCCAGGTCATTACGTCGCCAGTCATCCGGCGATACGCGGCAGGATATGCTCAAATTTATTGAGACGCTGATCGCGTGTACCTTCGATCAAAAGAAACAGTGACAGAACTGCGGGACTTTGATCGAGTCGTTTCTTACATATATACGCTCGAAATATTCCAAGATTATGTAAGCGCATAAAAAAGTGGCGCGCGCGTGTGCACAGTGCTCGGAATATACATGAAAGCAGCTCCGAGAGAAAGAACGAAGGATCGATTACCTCGATACAGCGCGAGTGCCGTGCCGAGGTTTTCCGGTCAAGTTCGCAGAGCGCGCGCGTTCGTGCTCTCTCTCTCTCTCTCTCTCTCCCGTGTACGCCCACGCGAAAGTACATGCACCCACGCGTATAGCTATACGTAGCGCGAACAAGTCGGGCAACCGAGGGTGTATTAATAAGCAGACGCCCAGTTTAATGAGATAAAAGCCATTGTTGTTCGTACGGACTTGGCTTAACGTTTATGGGAGATTAGACTGGCTTTGGCACGATCGCATGATTACCCGTTCACGAGTCTTCGCGGAACTACTAGCGACCGTGCTATCGTGCATGATTTAATAATCGACGAGACGACTACGATGATGATGATGCGGCATATGAATGGATGGGAAATTCATTTTTTCCCATCTCGTTTTGTCTTTTAATTTAATTTGTTATTGTATACTGTTGAATAGACGTATAGCGAGCTATAAATTATGTTTGTCTAATTGAATAAGTTATGAGAGCTCGCTCTTGTAAGGTACATCGGGGCAGGGGGGGAGGGGGGGAGTAGACTGACATTCATTTACCAATCAATTGCGAAACTATGACGAACAATTTTAAAATATCAACAATTAAACGTGCGTGAAATCCTGTCGTAAAAATTTTTCTATTTTAGAAAAAAAAATCGACGCGCAAGCTCAAAAGGAACTAGCAAGTTATAATTTGCCTCTAACGTCAGTTGCGTATAGACGCACGCGCTATAGTACACGACATTGCTCGGCGACACCTGAAAACGATAAATGTTACACAATTGTAATTGCAAGTTTCTTCCGTCGCGCCAGTACACCTGCTTACACGCGCACGCGCGCAAGCAGCTATAGCGTGCAAATGGCTTGCGTCTTTGGAGCGATAAACAAACGAGCTTTTTTACCGGGTCGTACGCGGCGCGAGATTCTAAAAAAAATAAAAATACGTCGGCCTTCGTGCTGCTCGCCACGGCGTATCGAGCAGTGCACGTGTACGTGTACATGCACTCTGAACGCAAGCTCAGAAACGAAACCGCCGATAAAAAGAGAGACTCTTAGCTGTAGGCTACGCCGCGCGCATGGACATGCAAACACGAGCGCGTGATAAGAAAATCGAAAGTCGCGTGTGAGACCGCTTTTTTCTTCTTTCTTTCTTCTCTTTTTCTAGTTTTTTCTGTTTTGTTTCCATCGTCCGCTCGCTGTCTGTTTCTGATGTCGAGGTGCTTGACTATACTCGTATAAATTTGTATCTGTTTTGATGTAAATGGATTCGCCCAGGTTTCCCTTCGAAACAACAAGATTGTCGTGCGAATATCGAGCGAAGTCGATAATTCGATTTGACTGTTGATTTAAGGAAAGCTCGCGAGCTTTATACGCATGCCGTTTGATCGAATAAGTACGTCGCAGAGCAAACGCGGCTCAAAGTATGCATATTGGATCGAGCGAGCACCTGCATGTTTGTGCGAGACATAAACGCACGAAGGCACTGGCGGTGCAAGCTCGCGCGCACACATATGTACTTACGCCTGACAAACATTTGTCGCCGACCAGTCCGCCAGTTTCTGCAGCTCGTTATCGTGGAATCCGGTGTGGGTTGGGTTTGAGGTGTCCGTGGCTCGATGCCATATAAATATCAAACAGAATGGTGTCAATGCGTGCACAGCTCTACTAATTGCATGCTCGCGAAGACCTCGGAAATCGGTGAATTTCGTCGTTGACTTTCGATTCGAGCCGATACGTTGCTAAAATGAATCCCTTTGTTGCAAGCTGTTTGACGAAAGTATCCGCGTGAGCGATACAAAAGGCTTGCTCCTTTTCGAAAGAAGCTTGTATAAGCGCTTTGAGAAGTTACGCGACTTTTCAGCCCTGACTATGTCAAACAATTTGTATTCTTCTCAGCCGGTAAATCTCGACGCGAGTCTCGCTCTGCCGAGTTTTAATTAAAAACGAGTTTCGCGGCTGCCTCTCTCACTGCGAAAATTTATCGTTTCCAATATTTTATAAAGTTTTCTTAGCGATAACGCATCATTAATTTTGACGTGCTTTACACAAGATCACAATGCTAATAGATGCTTTATCGAATATTCACCGCCTTGTATTATAAATGATGATGAATCAATGTGACGGATAGTTTATATTGGCGAAAGTTTAATTTCGTCGCACAGCAACGCGAAAGCGTGTGTAATCAGACGCAGACACGAGGATCGCGTTGGCTCTCTAACCGAAATATTTCATCGTCGATTCGCTCTAAATTCGCCGCGAGCTCTCATTTAATTTTCTTTATTTATTTATTCGTCTTTTTGAAAATTTTCAAAAACACTCTCTGGCTATTGGAAAATTTGTCACGCGACATGACGTTTTTATCAGCTGCGTGTCACGCCACTCACTCGTTTTTCAGAATAATGTGACGATAGGCTTTGTTTATACACTACTATACTTTGGCATATTTATTGACGTGAATTTTGAAAGACGCGTTACGTCAGTGCCACGGACTAAATTGTCAGAAGCATATATCTGCTGCTCGCAGATAAATAAATTAATTTCTCAAGAGTCATACGGAGGCCATGATTGATCCGTTGATTGGTCGGATAAGTATAGCGCGAATGAAAAAAATTAATTACGATATCGTAAGCAGGAAATTACGCTGCTTTTATCCGAACAATCACCAGTGCTCGACGGAGAAAATGCTGCGGCAGTGACAAAGCTAACCCGCAATTATCGTCGGCAGCGTTCAACGAAATCTCTCAACATCTACCGGGCTTCCGCGCAGCTATCTTCGTTATCTCCCCGGGTCTTTATCGCCACGGATTCGTTAGAATCAAGCTATCGGCAAACGTCGCGCCCGCGGCGCCGCTCGGCGCAACGCAAATGCGTGAGCGCGACTCAGACCTAATTTATCAGAACGAAATTTCGCAATCGCCGAGGCGTAATATTCCGTCGCGTTTTCTCTCGCGCGCCGACTCTAGGAGCCTCACGGCCATTGCAAATCGGATTCCCTTTGGCAATTCCCTTCTCCGAGGCTACGCGGAGGTAGCGAAGTAGGGGGGGGGGGAATCGCGAAAAGCCAAGAACAACGCTAGCGGGTGTACATCTACAGGGAGGCCAAGTTGCAATGGGAGCGCGCAATTACGCGTAATTGTTTACCGTGAGCCGCTATGGGAATGCCAATGGAGTATGAAAAGTTGAAAATTCAGCTGAATTGCTCTCGTTGCGCATTTCTCGCCCATACAATTTTCTTCTCTCTCTCTCTCTCTCTTTATTATACCTCTCTCGCACCCTTTTTCGCATCTCTTTTAGTTGGTTCGGCCTTTCTCTCTTCCTCTTCATACTATTTACCTTTGCGTCCGCAAGAAAAAGAAGAAATCTTGATGAAAAAACGCTAGAGCAGATT